TTCAACGTCTATAACATATGAAGTTGTCTCAATAGAGATTGCTTCGATGAGACTTGAAGCTTTGTTTAAACGTAAATGTTGTGACCAATACTATGAGAATGTTTTTTTGTTTATTGACATTTTGAATAAAAACAACAGATTACTTACATCAAAATGTGCATTAGATAGAGAGATATCTATTCATGTACCTTGATTTATAAAAGATATAACTTAAACAAAATCTTCTTTTATCCACGATTGGAAACGCAGAGGCTTTTTTGTATATCATTCTAAATATATTACTATTATTCGAAAGTATTTCATTGGGAATATTGTTTACTTCAAATTCATTTACATATCGAATTTCTGACCATGTTCGAAGCAAATCCATATTAAACATTGGTATATTTCTTGACAAATATACTGTGAACATAACGGAATCCCACCAACTCGTTCAGTCCAATATGAAAATAATGTCTTCCACATTGCATCATCTGAATTAGAAAATGTATATATCCAAGATAATTCAAAAGAATTTGCTTTGAAAATCAAATCAACCATACCCCCAAGTTTCCATTTCTTTCTGACTCGATAAAAACCTCCCATTTTACTTTTTTTCACGTCTAGAATTCCATATAAATGTATGATTATATAGTCCAATGTAAGGCCTTGTATATATGAGTAGGCATTGAGGGGGCTGTACCTATATAGACGAGCTGATGAATTATCAAACATGTTATAATTATCTCTTTTCCATAACAGGTCAGTCGTCTCATTTTCCACGTCTTAAGAATATTATAATTGTATCTCAAGATGTAAACAATACTTTGTACATTTTTACCCTGTTCTAGCCATTTTTCGCTTGATCTCACATAAGCTCCTTTAAATTTCATAGTATACCATACGTCTACTTCTCATGTTAGGTTATCTAGTTCTTCTTTATCAGTATCAATTAAAATGTCATCTTGTACCGAACACGATTGTCTTAATTCCTTTTCAATTTTCACATTATACCGTTTCATTTTTCGTTGTTATAATTCTGCGTCAAGATTTTATTCTAAGGGTCAGTAGTTATTCTATGTCATCCTCTTTCGTAGTTCTGTGCATTTTGACACCAAGATCATCTATATACCATATTTTGTTGCTGAATACGATTTTTAGTGATTTAGGCAAGGGTCATTGACCTTTGACCTCTAATAAAATATTCTCCCCAACCCCCATACCTCCTCCCTTTTTTTGGTAATTGTCCATACCCATAACTACCAAAATCAGTTGAAATTAGCTTCTTTTAAACAATTTCACAGATGAACCTTTAGTTAGGGATACTATAGCGACAAGCAGAATTGACAACAGACTTAACTCCGTTCCGTTGACAATCAGTCATGCATGTCTTTCGTCTACTTTTGTCTGCATCGATTACACCGTTTTCTGTTCATGTAGGATCTGTGGAATCGCCTCTGGTGGAGAAGGGACGCCCTCAAGCATGGGTTCTATACTAAAGCTAGTTGCAGCCATCGTTGGGATAGTGAGTGGAGTTCAAACAGTCCGAGTATCAGGTAAGACCACCAACCCGATCTCCCCCATTTACTGCTAGCCACAGTTGGCCAGGCTGGGCGTGCGGATTCCCTTTTCGACTTGCAGTAGTTAGGGGATTGAGATCGCAATATAACCTTTAAAAAAACGGCCAGATGTGTGACGGTGATAGAATTACCTGTCAGCTTTGGTTACATTGAGTCATTGACCGTGCCAGTTTTAATGTTTGTGTCCGTTTTCGCTCACGTATTATCTAGCTACGTATTCATTTCAAGAGCGGCAATCCTAATGTTTCAATTATGTAACGTTTGGACCTTATCCTATTTTTCTCGAGACACACCTGCATGCCGGGAAGATTCTACTGGAGTGAACTACAGAGGAGACTTATCTCAGACAATCAACGGTCATACTTGTCAAGCATGGACCTCTCAGGAACCCCATACACACACGAATACTCCAGCTAACGTTCCTAACGCGGGACTAGACGACAACTATTGCAGGAACCCAGATAATGTGGACACTGCTTGGTGTTACACCACCAATCCTGAGATAAGATGGGAGTATTGCGCTGTAGGTTTCCTCGACCCCAAATGCAAAGGTAGCGTTGTAGTGTTTAGATTGTGAGCAAAGCGCTACTCCAAATTGATTAATATTAAATTTAATTAAATTCATGTATTAACTCAATATAAAAAAAACATATACATCAAGGTGTATGAACGCATGATGAATACAAACAAGATGGACATAGTAAAATCAGCAGTTGAAAGCACAAGTAACCTGAATTGAGCGGGGATCTATATAAAGATATTGTGTATTCAAGCCCATCGTGATGTATACATTGCATTACATTTTGTTGCATGTTCAACACAATAGGAGGAGAGAATACATAAACAGCTGGATCATGGAGTAACCAGAGAGAGGGAGAGAGAGAGGGGGGGGGGAGGGAGAGAGAGAGAGAGAGGCAGACAGCCAGACCGAGAGGGAGAGAAAGGCAAGATGAGAAATAAATTTAATACATAGAATGAAATTAGACAAGAGCATGTTATATAAAAGATAAAATTAATAGACTATTTTCGCAATGCATCCAAATTAATACATGTTTGCCCAGCGACAAACCATCACATCGACCTGCTCTAACGAACGACTACCCGATAGCTGGAACGCAAAATGCACACCATGACCCCTGCTAGGTCAGACAAACATTACAACCCGCAAAGCATACAGTGTGCACTCCAACCACCGGAACACAATACACTGCAACAGGCGAATGACAAAGCCTATCACTAGGCACTTGACAAAGAAGTATGCATCAAACTGGAATACACTATACGTAAATGGCCCATCGAATATTGAATATCAAGATACATGCATTCATATAAAATTATGTTACATTGACAGGAGAAAAGAAACGAATGAAGCTATATTGGGGTTCTTGGAAAGCATTTCAACCTAAAGAGTAAAAATCACACTGCATTATTTTTTTTCCCTGAATATGTTCAAGCACCTTTTGTTATATCATTCAGTTTGATCTGCGGCTTCCCCCCCCCCCTTCGTTTTTAACCAATAATAGTAAGTTCTCTTCTTTAATATAATAACCTATCTGGTTTGGATACATTGAGCCATTGGCCGTGCCAGTTATAAGGTTCGGGTACCGTATTACTCACATATCATCTAGCTAATAATTATTTGATTTTCATTTTATCAAGAACGGCAATTTTAATGTTTCAAATATGTAACATTTGGACCTTATCCTACGTGAAATGAGAGTTGGGAACAATGCTGGAAGCAAATGCATTATGTGTGGCTCCTTCTGTCTATAGAATTCATTGTTTGCTCATCATGATTATTTACTTCAATCGTTCATTTATCTATCTATTTGTTTATTCATTCATTCATATATTTATTCACTAACATCTACTTCTATACCTATACATTCGTTTAAGTATGTATTTATCCATCAATTTACATGTATATATATCAATGTATTCATTATTTAACTCACTTTCATTGTAGCATTACATGACGTAAATGACGTCTGTCCTCATGTGACCATGATGCCATGTCCTTTGATCACTCTGGAGAGCGGTGAGACTGTACAATTGATCCCGAAACCCATGCAATCCGATCTAGACTGGCTAATATCCGACCTCCCAGCAGACCTCCAGATTCCTGATGATATCCAGCGTTACTATTGCACCGAACCAGGTAGTATTTACATGCAAAATCCCCGAAATGAGGTGGCACGAAAAAGGGGGAGGCCTCGTTTTTCAGAAGGTTCATAACACCGAAAGTGAACAAGGGGTTCATTCTTCTGTGAACGTGTGTAATTCTGAAAATGAAAAGCCTCGTTATATATGGAAGGTTCATAATTCCGATAAACAATACACTGTTCTACGTCATTTTCGGAGTTACGAATCCTATTTCATTTTCGAAAAAAATGAACCTTCAGAATAAACTAACTATCGGAATTATAAACCTTCGGAATAAACGAACTATCGGAATTACAAACCTTCGGAAAAACGAAATGTAACCGAAAATGCATTTGTTTCAATTCATATTTATATAGCACAGAAGAAGTACCATTTTATTATGACACCGATCAGAACCTGTGGATAGCCCTACTACCGTGACCAGGCATTATATTACCGAAAATGTCATTCATTCAATATAATTACAATTGTTTATTCTATACTAGGAGGTGTCATGATAATAAGGGAGTTTACAGATAGCACATGGTACAAATGACCCAAAATATCCACAGATCTTTTACACATGGAGAGGTTCCACTTTGGGCATATTAGAATAATAACTGCCAAAGTCCTAGATGTGCTTCATGAATACCTTTTGTTTGCCCTCTTGAAAAGAATACTTCCACCTGCGTATCATATAATGTATCATTGGTGCATAAATGAATAATGATACATAACTTTCATGAGCGCATATCTAATATTCATCTGTGTGGGTTTTACCTTTTTGGTATAAATGACCTTTATCTCCCCATGCGCTGATTGTATCTGTAAACTCCCTTATTATAGTGGTTAATTCAATTAACTCTCAAACCAACCGTAGAGGGTTCGAATCCCAGCCTGACACTAAAACGTGTTTTGGCAAGGCATAATTGTTCCTCTCCACCCATATGTAGAGGGGTAATATTTTGCAATGGACATTTTAGTATATTTGAAGGGACCCAATGGAGAATATTATTAATACTGAAGAGGCTCCTGGATAAACAATAAAAATATCCGTTATCACTAAACAGTTGAACCTCTTGCATCCCCATTTCGTTTATTCGCGCCATGCCATTTAGCAAAGTTTCCTTCGTTCAAATAGATTTTTTTCAACATTAAACAATTCCTTTTCCACAAAACTTCTGATGCATACTAGAGGCATATCAAATTAAACTTAAACTTTGAAATGAATGCGTGACACATATAAGAAAAGTGTGATTTCAGTTATCAAGTACCAGTTGACTTGATAATCTATAAACGTGATAAACAAATCATTTTGTACTATGCATTTGTTTTATTGAAGAAAACTGAAAGAAACATTGCTTAGAACTTGCTTTGAATAGTTTATTGAAGGGGCGTTTTGACACCTATACGCTAGTTGTGTACAGGCAAAATAGTACATTGATTAAGCCTGCATGAGACCCCACCACATGCCCAGTCTCTACAATGATAATGTCAATGTTGAAGAAAAATAAATCTAGTATAGGATGAATAACAACATCTAAAATTGTATCGAATTTGATTAAATTAAAAAAAGCCACCTTTGATGTATCGTACGGAAAACCGGGTAGAAACTGAAAAAAATAGGGAGTGTCGTGGTCGAGTGGTTTAAGGTGCTTGACTGGAAATGCGAAGGTAGAGGGTTCGAATCCCGACACGGCACTAATATCATTTGGCAAGATTATTAACCTGCAATTGCTACTCTCCACCCAGGTGTCAAATGGGTATCCGGTAGGATGCGGCTGTCATTGTTGGTCAAACAGCTTGTGAGCGTCAAGAAGCGCCCGGCTGGAATGCTCCCCAGGGAGCGGAGATTGTACACACAGTTTGTGCGGGCAAGCACTGAATCAAATGACCGGGGTGATAGTATATTTGTAAACCGCTTAGAGACATTTGTATTAAGCAATTAAAACAATAAATAATAAATAATGATTTTCGGACAAAAATAACATCTGGAGTGTAATTTAAATATAATCAACCACGCCCACATGAAATTCATTTCCATTTTTATTCGAGCATTTGATTTGATTTAAAAAGGTATGTATTAAAAACCACACGGCAGCTCAACAGTTGAATTGAGTGGAATTTACATCATAAACAATTCATATAAATGCAATTCAAAGTAAAGAATTATACCATTTGAAATTAAGACTTATACAAACAAAGGTAGATACATTGTAGGCATAGCATGTAAATCAAAATAAGATAGTAATTAGACAATTAGGTATAAAGTACAAGTAGTATAACGAGGGAGATATGTGTGATTATTACAATAATACACTATTGTGATCATGTTCTGAGATTGATATACCGTCCTGCTAAGAAAGCATGTTTATGCTTGTAAGCAATTAAGCAGGGACCAACGGATTTAAGTCCCCTGCGAGGGACTTGTTAATGAGGATTAAAGTGTTACCATAGGCCACGAGCGCATTGACTTCGTTTCGAACGTGACCTCCCGGTTACGAGTCGGTAACCCGACACATGCTCCGCCGACGATTGCTCCGCCGACATTTACTCCGCAAAACGCGACAATTGCTCCGCGACATTTGCTCCGCGACATTTGCTCCGACGTCAAATGCTCCGCCGACAGTTGCTCCGCCGACAGTTGCTCCGTCGACAGTTGCTCCGCCGACAATTGCTCCGCCGACAGATGCTCCGCCGACAATTGCTCCGCCGACAATTGCTCCGCCGACAATTGCTCCGCCGTCAATTGCTCCGCAAAACGCGACAATTGCTCCGCCGACATTTGCTCCGCCGACATTTGCTCCGCCTGAAGCGACACTTGCTCCGCCGACATTTGCTCCGCCGACAATTGCTCCGCCGACAATTGCTCCGCCGACATTTGCTCCGCCTGAAGCGACACTTGCTCCGCCGACATTTTCTCCGCCGACAATTGCTCCGCCGACAATTGCTCCGCCTGAAGCGACAATTGCTCCGCCGACATTTGCTCCGCCGACATTTGCTCCACCGACATTTGCTCCGCCGACAATTGCTCCGCCTGAAGCGACAATTGCTCCGCCGACATTTGCTCCGACGACATTTGCTCCGCCCAAAAAGTGTCCCATAAACTACAAATGCTACTAGTACTACGACAAATGCTTCGCCGACAATATTTTCTTTACACCTATTTTTTTCGTAGTCTTTTTTTCTTCTTCATTTTCTGAATGCATTTCTTGAAATAATGTAGATGAAATGAAATGAATGAATGTTGATGAAGTGGGAGGAAAAAGGAGTTACCTAAAAGTCATTTCGAATATACTGAAATAACTTTCCATCTATCACTGTACGTCCCATATAATGTATACTAAACACTCATTACATGTCGTGGGAAGTTTTAAAAAAAAAAGTAGAGCAGCAAGCCACATTCCCCAATACGCGCATACCTCCTAGTTAATTTCAAGTAGCTCATCAATATGTAATACCTGAAATTACCTCGATCAATGCATCTTACTAGGTAAAGCATTATACAATGTAATAGGTCATCATGGAAGTTTAGAAAATAAGTAAGGGGGATTTACCAAGTGTTGATCTTTTTAAGAGTTTTATAAAGAAACAAAAAGATATTGAATATTTCTCAGCGAAAAAAAGGAACAAGCTTGTTTCGCATTTTAAGAAATGGCGATTTGACTTATGATACTCATGTTGATTTAACTTTTATTCCTGTGCCCCCTCACTCCCCTTTATGCACTGGAGTTCAAACTATGATTTATATGTGTACAGTGTATTCTTTTTTACTATAATGTTTTTTTTTTTTATAACTTTCTTGTCCTTTCATTATTGTTAGTTGTTCTTTTTTTTATACATATTGTTTTTTTTTTGGTCTAATTATTACCAATGACTTGTAAATATGTAATTTTTATATGATTGAAAATTTAATAAACACACAAATATAAAAAAAAAAGTTTAGAAAATAAGGGCACTTATATACGTAAGGAAGAGAACTCATTCAGACGGGAAAATGAGATGGCAGCCTTTCTGCTTATTCACATTTATACAAATCATTTTGTTGCAGTTTGATGTTAGTTCTTCATGATAAGCCAATTGCTCTTCTTCCGGTGGCTTCGTGAGTCCCTTAAATTATTTAGTGAAAACAAAGTACTCGAATGAAACGGAGTGTTTTGCACACTAACATATATATATATTAAAGCTACATACACTTAACTAAAGGAAAGAAACCTTTAGAAAATGGACTGGATATTATTGAAAATATTATTCTAAACAAGAATGTACTACATGATTGTATTACTTTACGTTTCAATTTCACGAGAGAAATAGAACTCGAGAGGGGGAGCAGAGAAGAAGTGATGGAAAAGAAAGAAGACTAATAGCATGAGAGGAAAGAAAAGAGCAAAGAAGACAAGAAAACGGTGTAAACAGGAAAAGGAGGAGCATGGGAGAGAGAGAAAGAGAGAGAGAGAGAGATAGCCTTGAGCTTTGGATCAGCTAATGAGTAATACATGAAACAGATTTTGAGCGGAGTAATTATCTTTCGCCGGAGAACTTGCGTAAGGAGCTATAATTTTATTTTTTATTTTTTTAAATCAAACATTATGGGGAATAGCAAAAAACGGTTGTCTTTTTTGCTCTTTTCTTTCCTCTCATGTTATTAGTCTTCTTTCATTGAGGTAATTTCAGGTCTTACATATTGATGAGCTGTTTGAAACTTTGAAATTAACTAGGAGGTATGCGCGTATTGGGGAATGTGGCTTGCTGCTCTACTTAAAAAAAAAAAAACTTCCCATGACATGTAATGAGTGTTTAGTGTACATTATGTGGGACGTACAGTGATAGATGGAAAGTTATTTCAGTATATTCGAAATGACTTTTAGGCAACTGCTTTTTCCTCCCACATTATCAACATTCATTCATTTCATTTCATTTACATAATGCATTCAGAAAATGAAGAAAAAAAGAAAGAAACAAAAACAACCCGTGAAAAAAAAATATTGTCGGCGAAGCATTTGTCGTAGTACTAGTAGCATTTGTATTTAATGGGACACTTTTTGGGCGGAGCAAATGTCGTCGGAGCAAATGTCACCGGAGCAAGTGTCGCTTCATGCGGAGCAAATGTCGTCGGAGCAATTGTCGGCGGAGCAAATGTCACCGGAGCAATTATCGCTTCAGGCGGAGCAATTGTCGGCGGAGCTATTGTCGGCGGAGCAAATGTCGTCGGAGCAATTGTCGGCGGAGCAAATGTCACCGGAGCAATTGTCGCTTCAGGCGAAGCAATTGTCGGCGGAGCAATTGACGGCGGAGCAAATGTCGGCGGAGCAAATGTCGGCGGAGCAAGTGTCGCTTCAGGCGGAGCAAATGTCGGCGGAGCAAATGTCGGCGGAGCAATTGTCGCGTTTTGCGGAGCAATTGACGGCGGAGCAATTGTCGGCGGAGCAATTGTCGGAGGAGCAATTGTCGGCGGAGCAATTGTCGGAGGAGCAATTGTCGGCGGAGCAACTGTCGGCGGAGCAACTGTCGGCGGAGCATTTGACGTCGGAGCAAATGTCGCGGAGCAAATGTCGCGGAGCAATTGTCGCGTTTTGCGGAGTAAATGTCGGCGGAGCAATCGTCGGCGGAGCATGTGTCATGGAACCTACGAGTCCCCTGTTCTACCACTGAGCCATCGCGGCTTCTCAATTGTAATCCTTATTGCAATTCCCCGTTAGATGAATCATGTAGTTTTATTATGAAGTACAATGGAAAGCGAAAAAACTAAGTGTAATGTAGTCGTCAAATATAATACGATCTAACTTTTTTAAATATATATATCTTCCTAATCCACAACCCAAACAATTTCAACGGTAAAAGGGGTTTCCGTTACGTCTACATAGAAGAAATGATAACGTCTAAAACCAATCCATGCAGAACCAGAACAAAATGATTAAATTAACATTATATTATTATGGCAACGTAGACGGTCGTTTAGCCTAACAACTAAAATGGGTGGACTAATTAGTTGACAAGGTGAATTGATCCTTAACACGAGCATTTGTTTGTGATCAGCTAGGCGCAACTTCACGGACCGCAGTAATGAAAGGCCCCTTTCACCTGATTAAGGTGTCGATTTAAGTTAATTAAACAGCATAATATCTCAGGGCTGCTGCTCAATAAACGGGAACGAAAGCGTTATAATGTGTGTTACAGGGCATGCATATCCATCATTAACATGATCAGGCCTCCAGTGGTGTAGCGTGGGTCGAGATATTGCAGGGGCACGGGGGGGGGGGGGGGGGGATTAAACTTACTCGGTGGAAAAAAAGCAATTTGAGGTCTTTAATCATAACGATGGACGTCTGATGGGTTTTTATATCTACCCTTCACTCGTTTTCCCTCGCCTTTCTCTTGTTATATGTTTCCCTTCTTTTTACCCCTTCTTTTTTTCTGTTGCCTTTTTTACTATTAACCCTAATAAGGCCGGGGGGGGGCATCATGCCGCCTCCCCCCTCCCCTCCTCCACGATTTTTCTGATTGTTCGGGAACGCATATTGGTGGCGCCCTGCCCTATCACTGACTTTTTTCTTTCGAGTCTTGCGCAACTCTTAAATTTTTTTTTTTTGAAAATCGGACCTACGGTTACAAGGTCACGTAACCTTTTGTCTTTGCATGTCATCCCGAAAATCGCTCATTTTCGTGATTTGTGTACAAAACATATTCGAAAAGTCATTTTTCCTAAAAAATAGATCAAACATTGGTTATTGTGTCTTGTTTAAAATTTAGGTGGTTGTTTTGGGATTCAAAATAATTGAATTGTAGTTACAAATGAAATAAAACAACAAAACAATAAAATACATAAGTTAAAACAACAATGAAATACATAAGAAATTATCAAAACATGAGATAACATAAGGAATAAGCTGGCTCTTCCAAATTTGTTGTCGTATTATCATTCAGAATGGTCTAATGAATATATGTAGTGAATAATAATAATATTATAAATAATATATGACTTATGGGTAAAAATGTGATTTGTATGATCTTATTTGCATAAATTACCATAACTATGCAAATGAGTAAATTTTTCAAAAAAAATTGAAGTTATCATAGAATTCTAAACACTTCACTTGACATGCGTGCACATTTTCACGAAGATCGACCGCTTCGCGGGCGAGATCTTATAGAGGGGGGGGGGGGGGGGGTGGGCCCGGCCGTACTAAAACCTCAAATAGCCCGACCTTTTTAGGGTTAAAGGGGCACGTGCCTCTTGTGCTACCCTGAAGGTTCTCCACTCAGGCTGTGTTCTAAACGAAAACCTATTTTAGGGGGAAGGGGGTGGGTGGTTGTAATTGCCTCTGCCCTCATGGGGACCATATGGAAGGAAGGGAGTGGAGATGGTGCACATTGTGCGCGAATGAATCCGATGACCGGGGTAATAATTATCGTAAAACGCTTAGAGAAGAAATACCGTATCTGGCGCTAGATAGATTCAAATTATTATCATTATTGTAAAGCCCACAAATTTTAAAATCCCCCACAAAATATATTAAATTAACCGCAGATGGCATATGTGAAAAAATTGCATTTGCAAATGTAAAAATATTAACTCAAATGTTATAACTTGTCAACCACAAAATGTAAACATAACACAAAAATATAACAACATTTCACCTACAAAATTGTGGTTAAACTTTCCATTTTCATTACAAATGTTATCACATATAAACTGTAAAATTAATCACTCATCGCTTTTACGATAAGGATACTAATTTATATATTTCTCCTTAATTCTTTCATATGACATAACAAACAAATTTATGATCAATAGATAACGCAAGTCTAAATACAGACATTCTGAAATGGCTGTGTTGGAAACCCAGATATGGTGCGTCCTTTATCAATTAGAATAAAACTTAAGGCACACCTCCGTCATTTTTGTTGCTTGGGGTGGGGGGGGGGGGTCATCGGTTTTACTTGAAAAACAAATCATAATTTACAAGGCTAGTGTTTAAAAAGATCTAGTGGTCCAGGCGTATGTGTTTCAATTCTTGTCACCCCCCCCCCCTTTCCTTTCTCACTTTTCTCACTTTCTTATTTCTTGTCATTTCTTAACCATTGGCTGGGACATTAACTGTCGTGTCCCTTGTGTTTACACCATTGTTTTAATGTATTAGACCTCGGGGTATTCACTTTTCTTATCCATGTTTCCCCTGTGTTGTTTCTGTCACCAGCATGCCGCTCGGACCCTTGTCTTCATGGAGGCACTTGTGGGGAGACAGAGATAGGATTTACTTGTCTCTGCTTAGAGTGCCACCGTGGTGAAAGATGTGAAGAAGGTAAGTGAGACAGGGGTGTAAGCAGGTAAATGATTTGTGTACAGGAGAGGGAGGTTGGTGAAAACCCTTGTCCAACATGGTACTTGTGAGGAGAGCGAGCATTTCGAGACAAGAGGGCTAGCATGTTGGTTTTTTTTTTAATTGTGCAAGTGTGGCAAGTGCGACACTGCAAAGCCAGATTCAGGTATTTATAAGCGAAGAGGGGGAGGGGGCAAACTCTTGTCTACATGGAGACACTTGTTAGGAGAGCAATACAGCTATTCTCTACTTCGATAACTATCGTGGTAAAAGCTGTGAGGAAGGTAAGACAGAGGTAGAAACGGACCAGGTTTTTTTTATACGGAGGGGAAGGGGAGGGGAGGGGGCGAATCCTGGTCAAAATCGTTTTCTTCATGGCGGTACTCTGCGAGGAGAGCGGAATCGGAATGACTACTTCAATTTAAAAGGCTCTTTTGATGAAGGGTAAGTGAGAAGGAGGCTTACTCAGAGGTTTTATTTCAGGGGGCAAACCCTTGTTGAACCCTTTTCTACATGTAAATGGAGGTAATTGTACTCTTGAGGAGAGTGATACAGATTTACCTGCCTCTGGTTTGAAGACCATCATGGTAAACATCCGAGGAAAAGTATTGGCTAAGTATGTACAAGAAGAGGTACGGTCAAACCAGTTTAATAGTGGATTTCACAGGGACTCCAGCAACTCCATAAATACGATTTGATGAAGTGCTAAATAAAAATAATTGGTAATATATATATTCATGGAGTGAAGTAATCCTAGTGTATAGTTATACCTCTTTTGTTGATTGTGGGGATTTCCCTGGGCTTTGTTCATGCTTCAATTTAACTACATATTTACACCCCACTATTCATTTTAGCAGATGGCTCTGTAATAATACTTATGAGTGGTTGATCCCAAATCGTCCATCAGCTATTTACTAATTGCATTCACACCAACACAAAACGTGTTCTAATATATATGACTAAGGTTTAAGTACTTAGTGACTTCGATGTAAAAATGAGTTGGTCAATTTAGCGCCTTACACAAACCAATGACTATTCAGGTGTGATTGGAGAGCTGAGACACTTCACATCGCCGTTAAGTCTTGTTTTTCCCAGGTCACTAAATGAGTTTAATTTTCTCCTTTTTTCCCTCAATATATCTGTCTTATTTCTATTGTTAACTATATAGTTGTAACCATCCATTCGTTAAAGCTTCTTGGTGAAAAGAAAAATGAAGGAACGCTTGCCTTATCGTCCTGCTCCAGTCCTAACACATACGTGTTGGTACATCAGGATCATTGGAACAAAAACTTATCACAAATGGCATGTCAGTATCTAGGGTTTGAAGGTAAGACATTATCATTATCATCTCAATGGTCCTGCATTTCTGTCTATTATCAGCTATACTTAAATTGCTGATATTGCTTTTTTCATTTGTGATTGCAAGTTTGTTCAGGCTTTGCAAATGTGCAAGCTGTTGCCTTTCCCTTCCCTTTACTTCATGTTAATGTATATATATATATATATATATATATACCCGTGTGAGTCAAAAAAAAGTTTACACCCAGAAAATTGCTTATTATTTTTAGAATCATATGTGAACAGTAAAATATTATACATCTGATGAAAGAGTGTTTTATCCCAAATCATTTGGTATCATTTTTGGGTGGTATGTGTTCACCCTTGGAGGAACAGGAGGCATTGTTTGCGAGAGTGCAAAAATCGACTTGGGCCAAAGTTGCCTATGTGATGTTACGAATAAAACAATTGAGATTGGGGTATTAATTCGGTCTTTGCAAATCCAAAAAACACCCTAACAAAATTAATCATGCCACACGTATCAAATATCAAATATCAAAACAATGCTTCCTGCTCACCCAAGAGTGAACACATACCACACAAAAATGATACTGAATGATTCGGGATAAAACACTCTTTCATAAGATGTATAATAATTTACTGTTCATAGATAAATTATAAAATAATTAGCAATTTTCTAGGTGTAAACTTTTTTTTTGACTCACCCAAAATAACTTAATAATAATAATAATAATAATAGCTAGTTCTTATATAGCGCTTTACAAGACCGAAGGCCCTCTCAAAGCGTTTTACAGATATATATATTATTACCCCGGTCATCGGATTCAGGCTTACCCGCACACAATGCATGCACATTCTCCACTCCCTGGGGAGCATTCCAGCCAGGCGTCATTTTTAGAAGCGCACACTTGCTAATCTAAGCACATTAGCTTTCACATCCTACTGGGTACCCATTTTACACCTAGGTGGAGAGTGGCAAATGTAGATCAATGTCTTGCCAAAGGACATTAGTGCCGCGGTGGGACTTGAACCGCGGACCTTGTGATCCACAGTCCGTTGACATATCCACTCGTCCACGACACCTCTACACCTCTATATATATGCAAGAAGTGCAAGAGTGCAAGAATTCTCAACTCTGACATGAAAACTATTGTTCCAGAAAATGTAGGCGTGAAGAAATTGCATAATCATTTCTAAGTTTATTCCGAAGTATTTCTCGTACTAATCGTTGCTATGTTCATGATACTTGACTATGGTTGAGTGATATTAAGTTTGCATGCCATATATATTTCTTTATACAATGTATTTGTTTCTGTATGTGTGTTCACTTCAGAACCTGAAGAAGGCCTCACAAGCCGAACGCTCGTAATACAGTTTTAAAGTACAGCTACGTCTCACGTTCCTAGACCATTTTTCACGCCTTTATATATATATATATATATATATATATACATATAAACATTTTTCTAAAATAACATTTCTGCATGATAATGTTACCAAGAAATTACATTTGCCTCTTTCTCATTGGGTTGATGAGTGGTGTTTTTTTAACACTACTTCATTTGATATTTTTTCTGTTCACGATACATTCTCATTTTTAAAATTCAGGTCTTTGTGGCCTTTGATCTTCTCTCAATCTCTTCGTTTATGTCCATCACTCACACCCCTAGTGAAAAACTTATCAGATATAATGACTTAAAGCTACGAATTTTGGTTTTCATGGTTATGTTCTAATTCATTTATTACGGATTTCATTAGATTAAACGTACCCCTTGCCTTTGTAATCATTTTATTTATCTCATGAATACTTTTCCAATCTGATGTTATGGTGAACCAATATATTTAAAAGTGTGGACTTCCTTCATTGTTTCCAATTATTTTTGAGATTCCATGAAGGTGTTTGAGTTTCTGTACAAATATTATCATGCACTCAGTTTTCTTGTTTTGAAATATAATTATTGTAAATTTATATTAAATTATTCTTTAATGTATTTACTTCTTTTTTGTAATCATCAAACACTGGTGTAATGATGAGGAGTATATATATTCTGGTCGAGTTGGAGATTTAAATTCCATTTCCAGTTGATTTTCTCCCTCTTTAACCTAATTCCCTCTCTTATCCTTTCCAGTTTTCAAAACTGTTGTATCAGGAGCCTACCCTAGTTGCATGTGTTGTATGTCATCACAAATCAGTTCTTGTGGTATTCGATAAAGTTGATATTTTTGTTGTGGTCTGCATTTATTTTCTTCAAAATAATATTGTGATTACTCTTGTATACTACTTTTTACTTGAACTTTATTGAACAAGGAGTATTTGCGACAGTTAGCGGTCCACTGTATGAGTCCTCGTCCGTCGATGTTCCTGCTGAAGCCGGATCAGTGATATGCCCTGCTAATACCACAAACATCACAGACTGCTGGTACAGTGAGACTAAAGTGGGACGGATAAACGAGAGTGAAACTATATCCATTGTGTGTTGCCCCGGTAAGTAATTACAACAATGATGATGATAAAAGCAATCATGATAAAATAAAATACTAATAATGATACTATTAATACTTTTTAATTGTAATAATAATATGATGGTAATAGCAATAATAATAACGATGATGATGATAATAATGATAATAATAATTATAGCAATAATAATGATATTAATAATATTAATAATAATAATAATACATGAGATTATATAGCGCCATTATCCATTTTAATTAAATGCTCAAGGCGCTTCAAAATATTAGGGAACACATTACATCATAAAGAACCGTGTACATTTACATAAGAAAGAAAATGCAAAAATGAAAGAATGAATGTCTGTCTTCAAAACGCAAAATTAAACAAATGGGATTTAAGGTTGCTCTTAAAAGATGTTGAAGAGTCAGAGTTCTTCAGCTCTTGTGGAAGTGAATTTCACAGGGCTGGTCCGGCATGAGCAAAAGCTCGTTCCCCCAAGATTTCTTGGGGGGATAGTAGCATAATGATAGTAATAATATTGATAATATGCTTTGTCTACACATGGTTGACAGAAAGTAACTTCATCAGTAAAGCTTCAACAATGGAAACATGTTCTACATCTACAGGGAATTTTAAAAAAGTAGAGAGATAGTTTGATTGGCGATATCTTTAAAATTGCTCGAACATTCTTAATGAACATTTATTGATAACCTGCAAAAATATCCCCTAGTGATCCTGTGTATTTCAAAATATTTCAAGTGATAAAACTAACTTACGATATTTGTTTACAACTAAAACGCAGCACTTTCCAACTCATAATAATATTGGACATTGTTTTCTCTGAAAATATTTGTCGCAAAATACAAAAACTTGATATATATTGGCATAATGATGCTATGTGATCTCTCTGTAAACATTTGAAAAGTTGTATATTTTGAGAAAAAATGATATCTCTGTAGTATTTACTTTGATTTGATATCCTTATACCATTGAAGGAGAGGTTTATAGAGGATACTATACAATTCCTTACCGACGGAATTTTATCGAGGACGGTTACTGCTTTTTAAGATGTCATAATTTCGTTGCATTTTTGCCACACCGCGTATACTGACGGTTTAATGACTTGCTATGGTGTGAAATGTAATTTTCACTCTCGTGTTTTATTTGCACTTCTACGCCTCTGGGGTTTTACTCTGTAAGATGCATTTATTATTTCTTGACCTAATTTTCACCAGTAAACCCGTGTAATATATCTGGTCGACCACTCGGCCTTGAAAGTGGTGCTCTTCCCGATTCGGCCTTGTCTGAAACATCCTGCCACTCGGCGTCCGAATGCAGCCGTTTTGGCCGTCTGAACTCTGAGACAGCCTGGCTTCCAGACTCGTCCGACCAAATCCCATGGATGCAGGTCCAATTTGAGTCCAGTTATATCATAACGGCCATAACGACTCAGGGTAGAAATGACTATGATGAGTGGGTGACGTCATACACTTTCGTGTCCAGTTTTGACGACACGGCTTGGACTGTTTATTTGAACGTATACTCTGGATCAGTTGAGGTAATTCCCAGACTGCTGTTCCTTGATTACATTACAAAAAAAATAATCAGTGGCCTTTGTGATCGCAGATATACAGTGTGACTTTGTAAAAATACCATTGATCTATGGATAATTTGTTGCTACAATAAATTTTTGTTGTGCTATGGCTGCCAAAAAACAACAACTCACAAATAAAGAAACAAAACACAGTATATATTATTTAGGAATAAACCGATTGGATTGTATTGCTAAAATATAAGTTGATATAACAAGGTCCCATTGTAATGTATATCATATCAAAATAGCAATATACATAATACATGTATAGGCCTATGTATATCAAAACAACAGAGGCTCACTATTAAAACACTTACATTGGCTCTTCTTGACAACAATGTATGTAGTCATCGTTGTATTAATTCGCAGGCCGTGTAGGCTTATGAACTAACGGTGAGCTTCATTAAGAATGGGTTTCCTTTGCAATATTACTTAATGTCATTCTCATTCAATTTTTTGTAACAGATATTTCCGGGAAATTACGACCGTGATAGCCATGTGACTCACACGCTTGCTAGGCCGATAGTTGGACGCTCTTTCCGGATCTATCCAAAAACCAATCACGGTCACCTTTCTTTGAGGATGGAACTATATGGGTATGGACCTCTAACTGATGATATAGGTAAGTGCAGAGTAGGACTGATACTGATACTGATACTAGTGATTGAGAGTAAAGATTCAGTAAAATATTTAGGAATAAATTTAACTAGTGATCTGTCATGGACAGGTTTGGTAGATTCAATTGCCAAAAAGGCTAATTCTCGCTTAAAATTTTTGTATAGATACCAAACTTGTATGAACATGAAGTCGAGACGTATTTTGTGTTTTGCTTTGATACAATGTTTATTTGATTATGCTAATGCTGCTTGGTACAGTAGTCTGGGCAAGATGGATAAGAAAAAGTTAAGAATAATTCAGAATAAGATGGTAAGATTTATTAATTGCTTAGGCCCAAGATTACACGTCGGGAAAAATGAACTTGAAGAAGCAGGTATACTCTATGTAGGTCAAAGGTCTAAACAAATACACCATGTCCATAAAATATACTACTCAGATGTAGATCATTATATTACTAATAATTTTACTCGTGTCTCAAATATCCATGGATACGATACAAGAAATAGTCATTTTAATTTTGTTTTATCCAAGCGAAAAGGACAAATTGGAAACTCTTTTTATTTTAATGGTATCCAATTTTGGAATTCTCTCCCAAAACATGTCAAAATAGTTAAGAATTTTTCACACTTTAAAAGTGTATTAAAACAATATCTAGAGCATGAATCCCTTCAGGAACAGTAATATCAGTTATCTTAAATCACAGTTCATTATGTGTAGCGCATGTTTTTAAGTTTAATCTTGCATAATATACCGTAGATCATTGTTTGCTATAAGTTCTAGAAAGTTTTGTTATTGTTTATGTTATATTATTTATTCGTAATATTCGTAGTAGTTATTAGTTGTGATATTTTATTCTCATGCCGTACTGTACACGTACTTTATAGGACCCCGTTGGAAATAAGCCTTTTCCGGCTTTCATGGGTTATCCTGTCAATGTATCTTCTCGTTTCATTTTGCTTTATGTATCCATTCATTGTACTATACTTGACGAATAAAATCAATCAATCAATCAATCAATCAAAAGAGAAGGTTTGAATATGATGGTATGTGCTGAAAAATATGAAAATATAATTGTGAGCTTTCCCTCTCTTTGTTTGTCAGTGTGAAATAATTTGTTAGTATAATTGTCGTCTGAAATGCATTGCTCTTAAAATGCTCTCTTCATTTGGCAATAAATGGTCAAAACTTGAAAAATCTGGACGAAATTTTTTTTGTGCGCAGTCCCATTCCCCTATTAATCTGGGCAATGCATGTGTCTTTCAGCATTGTTTAATTTTTGTTTTGTTTCATATTTTAATCATTCCAAAACCCCAGGTTTTAAATCATATGTTATGTTCTAGCTGCCAACCTTTCGCAATTCTTCTGGAAATGTTATGTCATAATGTGATGTTATGGCCAGTTCTGGTCATAATTTTTCAAGAAACAATGCAGTAGGTTATCATGGGGAATATGAAACCATTTTGGTGTTAGTCGGTAACGAGTGTTATCAATCGCACAAATAATGTAGTGTTCTATTAAGACCAATCCTTTATCATTTTCAGGAGAACCGCCCCACCGCAAACTACACCATCCTCCTGCGATTCGATTTTCGAAGATGAAAATGGCAAACATATTAGATATATATGGAAATCTACACAAACATCATCTTCCCAATTTAGATCTGAATAATGATAAGAATAGTATCAACGGAATTGTAGTTCAATTTCAGTTTCAATTCATTTTCCATCTCTAAAAAAGGGAAAAATATAACATTGTATTGACACGTTGTATTAAAATAACAATATAAACATAAAAATGGGGGGATACCCTTAATAAGCAGGTTGCTTGTAGGCAGCCCCCCCCCCCCGTATACCATATACAATTTACAACTTTGTGAGAGAAATATCTAAACATTTGAGAAAATTATAAAACAGCAAATTAAATATAAATTAGGAAATTGTGATCATCTTAACAGCTACTATTCTATAAATAGACATATACAGGTACACGTCCACGCATACAAACACCCTAGGACACACACACACACACACACACACACACACATATGCACACACACAATTAACGTATTTTTTTTAGAAAATTTGAATTTTGAAAGAGTTGAGCTTTGCTGAATACTGTGATCAAGGCTGTTCCACAATTTAATATATTTTACACGGTATGAGCTTGAGGACATGGAAGTGGAAACCTTAGATTGATGAAATAGTTTACATTGACGAGTGTTGTAATTATGTACAGACGAATTATGGGTGAAAATATTTTAAATATTTTTGGTAAAATCTAGACTGGTATTTATACATAAAAATAAGAAAGTTCATAAAAATTAATTCAGAGATTGGTAAAATATTCATTTTATTAAATAATGGCATACTCGGACAGTAATATGGGGATGATGTAATAAGTCTTATTGTTTTTTTCTGAAGTATTATCAATCTGGAAAGATGGCTTTTGAAAGTATGCCCCCATACTGAGTTATAGTATGTTAGGTGAGGCAAGATTAAACTATAATACAAAGTGACGAGTATGTTTTGTGGTAATATAAATTTGAGCCTTGATATGATTCCTATACATCTTGATACTTTAGTACAGATACTCCTAATATGCGGTTTCCATGAGAGAAATTCGTTGACTGTAATACCTAAAAATTGAACATTATCCACACGTAGTGCATTTGATTCTTCTAAGTTCTAGTCGGAATAAAAGCCACATCGGCTTCAAATCGTACAAAAACGCACTACTGACCTGACGTCACTACGAGTCTGAGCCGATTTAGCTTGTTCTAAATAAAGTTTCAAAACCCTAGAAATTTAGATTTGATAATTCATCTGACTACTCGGATTCTCGATCATTCAGATTTAGTACATGTTCGAATTTTTCCTATCGAATGTTGTTACAAATACCTCCAAAATAGGGTAGTAGTCAGATCGCATAGTGTGCGATGGGTTTTACTCATCCACTATAAGGCAAGCCCAAGAAATGTCCAGGTGAGCCAGCGAGCTTCTCTGCGCGCGACATGCTTAAACATATGAGTTGGTAGCGCCACCTTGTCCGGTGTAAGCGAATACTACTCAGATCATATAGAATCTTTCCGACGTTATCCAATAGTATGCCAAGATTTATTTTATTTCATCGGCATTTGCCGAAAGGTCACCCCTAAGAATTAATGATTATCTTTTCCCTTAATTGGAGATTCTCGTTTGGGTTACAAGATGTAGCTGGTTGAACTCCCGGACAGGCCAGCCCCCATCTGTTTTAACATGAATAGTGTACGTGTTTAAATCTCACCATGGACCTCTCACAATAAGCAATACAGGAAAATATTGCTTGTAACGAACTCATGTGTACTATGACAGGTATTAACACGTGAACAATCAACATACCTGTATTTTCATAATCATGAAAATTAATGATTAACTAAGGTTCGTACCATTCCCTAATAACAGATTTCCCTTCTTATTTGTTACTTCTTCCTTTGTTGTTGTTGTTATTTTTTTCATTCCTTGCTCGTTTTTTTATTAATACGTCATATGACTTGACCGGGTAGAATTCCGATAAAAATTTAAATATTGGAAGGAAAACCTTGCCTTGCAAATTACCAGAAAAAAAATAAAGTTAGTTTCAAGGTATGTTACGTTTTTGTTTCTTTCTTGCAGCGTCGCTGAACCTCGATGCGAAACTTGGTTGCACTTCTCCTGTCCTTGGCGAGGGGCTTGGCGTGGAAGATGGTCGGATACCAGACTCTAGTCTGACCTCGTCATCGATCTATAGTTCCGGCTATGAAGCTTACAGAGGAAGGCTGAATGGAGTTGCAGTTGCAGGGGAATTCTTCGGTGCATGGGCCGCCGCCCATTCAGACAACAATAAGTGGGTCAAGGTAATTTGCTCTAGCATGTCTAAATGCGCGATGAGATGATTTGAATGAAAGTGTACCCATATCAAGAAAAAAATTGTGTACAGCTAGAATGTATAAAAATCAACCTCCTCTTCGTGATAGGCTGCATAGCCCTTTGAAGATTACCAGAAGAAGAACTTTAAAAAAGGTTTACCTGGCTTGATGTGGGCTAACTGATTAGAAGTATGAATACAAAATAGAATAACATACTGTAATAGTATATATTTCATGTGTATGAATAAAACTCTTTCATGTTTGCTTAGACATTTGAACAAGTGTGTTTCGATGCTTCCAATATTCGTATATAATTTATACGCAACAGCAACAAACAACGCGGACCAGCTTCGAGCATGCGCATCGAGTGAGGTCATCTCCGCTTGATATATTCATGGATGTTAATGTATTCATCATTTGGCTAATAACGACGCACAAGTATTGACGAATCAGTGTCCTTCAATTTCTTTATCATGATGCGAACCTAAAATTGGAAAACTGTTCCTTTTTATGTAGGAAAAGCGCCCCCTTTTCTTACTCATAAGTGCACCTTCCCCATTACCACAATGGAACTTTCGCAAGGCTAAATGGGATCTCTTCAGCGTCATGACTAATGCTTTGACAGATGACCTCCCACCCCCCCCCCCCCACAAAGCCTATAAACACACTAATGTTTTGAAATCAGCTGACATAACCTCTATCCCAACAGATTTTCTGAAGGCGTATCAATAAAGGCTGACAAGTCGTCTTAGTCTGCTTATATTAGGGGCTTTAACATTTGCACGACGAGAACGTGGACTACTCGGTGCCTTAAAAAGAGGTCACATTGCCTTAAAAGGATGTCACATGTAGCAGTCCACATTCTCGTCGTGCAAATCTAAAAGTTCCTAGTGAATCCAAATAGTTGACGTTCTTTTACATCATCCTTAGCATTATCATCAAATGCAAGATAATCTGCCTTTGAATAAATTAATATCTGTTCTTCTTTTCATCCTTAAAATCACCCAAAGGTTGATCTCGGCGAGGATACTTTGGTAACTGGTGTTATCACACAGGGACGGAACGATTGGGACCAAAGGGTTACGTCATTCCAAATCTCCTACTCAAGGGACAATACAAATTGGACCTTTGCTCTGGAAAAGCAGTGCGGGGTACGAAAAGTGAGTGCCATTTTGGGGCTTCCAGAAAATGCCTATTTTTTTGTTGTTGTCAAATCTGTCATCTTCCTTTTTTTATCCAAGCTCTTTTCATTACTTATATACCTAATAGGTGGTCTGTCGTATTTGGCATATTTTCTTTCTTCTTTATTTCTTTTAAGGTGGTCTGTCATTACTCAAAAGAGTTTCAGTAATTCTTTCAAGTTTAAGACATTCATAGGTCATCGTCAAAAGACGAGACAGCAACATTTTCAAGGTCATCAGGTACTCAGACGTCATCCAGGCGCCATTTTGTGATTTTTATTTGTTTTGTTGAAAATCAACTCATGATCATATCTTCATATTGTTGTCTAGTTGAATGAGTGTGAAGGTATGAGTTTGTTTGAAATATGTTAGAAAAATCCAGGTATTCAATCTTATCAGTTCAAATAAAGGCATCATGTTTATAAAGTGGCGTCAACGGTTCAGATGAGCAAATAATAAAGAATATAATAGTCTATGGGGTAAAAAAAAACAACTTAGTCTATACAATACACCAATTCATTTGAGCAATTTATTACGAACATGATCAATATGTTTTTCCAATTTAAGTTTTCTCGGATGGTTGAACCTAAAATGTCAATGCAATCTTTTCTTTCAATAGCAATATCATCAATTTTTACAACGTCATTGTCATTTTTTCACCTTTTTTTTTTTATCCTAGGATGATATTTCTCATATTTTTCTGAACAATTTGATACCATTTTTAACTCGTAATGACTATTACAAACGGAATGAGCGTCTGTTCAGGATAAATGTCCGTGCGCGCGAGCTCTTGTTATACATATTGTATATGGGAAAAAACATGCTTTTTACGAATCCAGTATAGCTCTTTGGGATGCTCAGGGACCCCCCTTTTTATGATTGGATAGAGTGTGATTCGGATATACACTGTTGGTCATAAAGGTGGAAGAATTATTTTTACCCCAATTTATGGAATGGTTTTGACAATAGTTTATTCCTAATAGATCTAAATAATAGTATACATTCTCAGATTGTATTGAATAATAATTTGCGAGTGTTTGTTTTGCGTAACTGCTTAATCATGTGTTTGCTACTATGCCAATCAACTAGGGGACCTACGTCATTATGTCATAACTGACAGTAATGAGGATAAATGCCTCACAAAAGGGCACTCAGAATATTGTTGATCGACACGATTTTTCTTCTGGGGCCTAACAGTACCGAGTCCATTGCTTAGCCACTGAATCATGACTGTACGCAGCGGGAGTTAGGGTACGTCGCCGCCCCCACAAATACAAAAAACAAAGAAAATGCAATAACTTATCAATGATTCACTGCATTTTCCCCCGGTCCCCAACAGGACAAATTCCTCTGTAGGGCGATGAATTATGATTCAAGGCATACCCCAATAGAGGATTTGTTTATGTTATGGGTCGGGGTACACACTAACAAATAATGGTACGAATGTGCACCCTATAGGGTACAGGGGTTTGGGGTCCACAATTGTTCCCTGAAGGGTGCATACATACACCCCTTGGGATGCAAGCGAGCACCTTTAGGGGTGCAGATTTGCAACATTTATATGGCATAGAATTGCACATTGCAGGGTGCACATGCACTCTTGACATCACATTATAACCAATAAAATCATAAGATCAAACAATTTGTTTTCATATCAAAATCACATTTTATTGGCAACATGAATGACCGGTTTCTGTTTCCACTATGCATAGTGGGTAAGAGAAAATTACAACATATGACACTGTTGTCATATATATGCGGTTTACCTTCTGCAATATATAGACAAAAGTAACAAGTAATATAAAGAACTAATACAATGGGCTATTGGCAAACACCAACATTCTAATTTGAGGTACAAAAAAGGTGAAATCTACGATTACACCTTTGAATACAGTATGCTTTTCTTGCATGAAGTAAAGGTAAGAGAAAAAACTTTAACAGCTTTAGTCAGGGAATCAACACCAATTTATTCTTATAAATGAAGTTGACTACTGAAAATGTTATCTTCATTTATTCCATCAATTCCACCAAATAATTTGGGGACAGCAAATACATTGTACAAAAACTAAATTAGTACTACTCTACAGGACATACAAGAATAGTAGAATGCACATCGATTGGAACTTATAGTAGTAAAAGAACAGTAATCACTTCTGGGCCCCGTTGCAGAAAGAGATACAATCGATTGTAAGTCCGATCACCTGTTCTACATGCGGAAATCTGATTTCGGCTTGGAGAAGAAAACCTCTCTCTGTCACTATTTACAACAGAAATATAAGATGAGAAATGTAACTATTCTCATGATCAAGATATCTCTTTGAGCTGCATATCATATGTAGTTAGCTGCTTTATTATTGCATAAGAATACAAAAATCCTATTTTCTGTCTTGATAAAAAAATATAAGCACACACAAAACATACAATACTGCGGTAAATAGCACACTTCAATTATTCACAAAAAAATGTATTCCTATAGCCCAAGAAACTACTCTTGTAAATGTGTATAGAAAAAACAGTAAATTTGTAATACTTTGGAACCGACATACATACATAGTTAGTCAATTTGACATGTCCATGTCTTATTTATTTCATAAATGTTCAGCCCTGAACAAGATATAAAGAGGTACAGTCAATATAAGATATTCTAATAAATGTATCAAGTTAAAATAGTTTACTTTTTATAAACTGTGTATTTTCTCATAAAATCGAGTATCAAAATAAAAAGAGATAAATAAGAAGAATAGGAAGAAGAAAAAAAGAAGAAGAAGAAGGAGGAGGAATAAGAGTGACAAGGAAAAAAAAGATACGGAGGAGAAAAAAGAAGAACAAAATAAGTAGGTAGAAGAGGAAAATAAGATAACGAAGAAAAAAAACCTACAGTACGGAAGAGCTGAAAGAACTTAGAGCACGGCAGATTGCAAAATTATCTGCGCATGCGCTAAGTTCCTGCTCGTCGAAGCGACTGGCCAGCACTATGAATATGACTGACAAAGAAAGCGGACAAAATATACAGTACCTCAGGTAGACAAAGGAACATCCCTTCACTGCTATTATGTAAAAATTTGTAGAACAGGTGTCACATGCATATTCACCTTTTTACATAAAAGCAGTGAAGGGATGTTCCTTTGTCTACCTGAGGAACTGTATATTTTGTCTGCTTTCTTTGTCTGTCCTGTTCATAGTGCAGGCTTTAGGCCGCTTCAACGCACACGCATTGTTCCGCGCGCTGAACAGTCGCACGGTATTGTACGGCAGCGAAGGAGTCGAATTTTCGATTTTTAATCTCGTTTGTGGGGTGGCTTTCAGGCTGAATAATTTCGGAAGGAACGGGTTAAGCTAGCCTCAAGACAGAAATAAACACTAACCAGTTCATACCCGTGCATTTGACTAGCACAATTACTTGGCTCCAATCAAATACTTCAACAAATCACCAGAAACATTATGTCCCTTTCATCAGACGAATAAAAGGAAAGGATTATTACTCGTTACTTTTTTTGGATTCAAATCCAGTGTACAATCTGACAATTTAATCAGTTCTCGTGACAACAGTAGTCAAATCAAAATCACCTTTCTCACCATGCTGTTTCTTTGTAGCTTTCAGCTTTGCCTGTAAATGACTATTCCTATTCATTTTTTTCAATCAGATGTCATCATGGTCTGTTGATGATGATCATCAACATCATCATGATCATCATCATCATTGTCATCACCATTACTATCAAGATCATCATCATCATCATCATCATCATTGTCTACATGTCTATATAACTTCTCCCTTTCTCAATACAGTAAATATTATAATCTATCATAAGACTTAAAGACAGACCACCTTATTAGTCCTCGTGACGAATTAAATTCTAGTTAAAATTTATTTTTATTTCTCCACACTTTTTTGTTGCGACAAAAATGCCTCAGTCACACCTTTGCGTATTGGGCTTGCGTATTGCTGCGTATTGCCCGACCGCAGACATAGGCAGTCATACCCAATAAAGCGCAACGAAACGTGCTCACTGCGTACTCAATACGCACTCTAGCGCAAAGGCCTGCGTTTGCCACTCGCTAGTTTTAAAATTTTCTAAACTATCGCAAGCAAATGCAAGTTCAAATCACCTACGAGCGGATACGAGTGACAACCAGTGAATGCGAGCAACAGCGAGTAGCTTAGCGCAAGTATACGCAACCATACGCACCTCTTCTTTTTGGAGCGCGTGTCACTGCCTATAGCTGCGTTTCCTGCACGATTTACCTCGCCAGAGCTCGTTGTCATTCGCATGATTGCGCGTATTGTTGCGCTGTTGCTCGCCTACCACTCGCAGCAGCAAGAACTGTTGCAATTGCCGCTCGCTACGCTGCGAGTTTAGCTCGTACGCCGTTCGCTTTAGCTCTCTCTCTCTCTCACTGCGATTATAGTTGTCTAGCACCAACCACCGTGGCTGCGCTTCATAACGTTAATAAATAAACATCATTCGCCTCTGCTTCTCCCAGCTGAACCAAAAGCTTAAGCTTTTGCAAGGCAGAGCTCTGCTGCTGGGCCATTTTTTTCATTAGATTGATTTTTTCTTGTAGATGTAGACTCGTCAGAAGCCCGCAAAATGACTTTTATTTATACGCCGTCGCAGCCTAAGCGAGCTGGTACGCTGTAGAGCGAGCTGGCACGCAGCAGTACAAACAACAGACGAGCGAAATCGAGCTAACACGCAGCGAGGCGCAACGAGACGTACTGGTGCGAGCGGCTAGCGAGCAGCAAACGAGCAAAGAACCAGTTACATACGCAACGTGGCGAGCAAACTGCGCATTGAATCGTCCTGCTGTGAGCAACAGCGAGCTATAGCGTGGTCATAGGCAACCGTAGGCAGTCTTAATACGAGCGGCATACGAGCTACCTACGAGCTAGATACGCAATAGTGTGACTGCTACCGTCAAATTTGCCGCGTATTGCTGGGAACGGCTGCGTATTGATATACCCCGTAGAGCGCAGCAATACGCAGCATCATACGCAAAGGTGTGACTGAGGCATTACTCAAGATCAGTTCAGTCAATTTGTTTTTAATTTTGGCACAGTCATAGGTCATTGTCATGAGACGTGACAGGAACATTTTCAAGGTCACCAAGTCTTCATGACGTCAACTAGGCGCCATTTTTTTTTTTTTTTTGGGGGGGGGGGGATACTTTCAACTTTCAACATACTTTCAACTCATGATCATATCTTCATAACGGAAAGGCATTTCTTATTCATATTTATCATGATTAAGGTCAATATCCGTCCGGTCAATTTCAGTTCAAAAAACGCGCGCGCATGCGTACGTGCGGGCTTCAGCGCGCGCGCAAAAAAATAAAAATCCTCAAAATCGTCTCAAATTTATTTTGCATACGTTTTAGGCCATTTTAAGCATTTCACAAAAAAACTCGCACACGCGCATGTGCGCGTGTTTTCGCGCGTCCTGGCATTTTGCAACATAGAATCATCAAATTTCCTCTGTCATCATATTTTGCATATTTTTCCAAGCATTTTGATATTTGTTCACTTTTTTCTGACCATAAATAACGGAATGAGCGTCCGTTTAAAGGGGCTTGTTCCCCGTATTCCACAGGGCGTTCAAAATACGTACCCGCTGGCGGACAGTCCTAGCTGCCTATTGACATCAACAGAATACGGCTCTTACGCAGATGGCATGTTCTGAATGCCCGCACAATGCCGATTAGCGCATACATGTGCCGAAGTAATACCAATCACAGTTCGGCTCTAAAATTCGGCAGCTGTTTCCGCCCACTTTCGTGACGTCACGATCGGCAGCGATCAACTGGCTTGGCGAAGGCATGCCAGGACGCGCGAACTTTGATTGACAGCTGTATGCAAATTAGAAGTCGATCTTCGGAACCAAGATGGCGATGACTAGAGCAGCGATAACTACACTGGCGGGAACGTGCCCCTTTAAGATACATGTCCGTGCGTGCGAGCTCTTGTAATACATAGCATATATGGGCAAAAACATGACTTTATAAAATGCATTGTAGCTCTTTAGGATGTAAGAGGACCAAATTTGTTTCTTCATGTTTTGATAGAGTATGAATTGGAGATTTGATTTGACCCTCAATTAACTCATGACGTCATTATAATGGCCTCTGAACTCAAAATGTCAATTTGCATATTATGACATCAGCATATTTTATTTAAAATTGATTGTATATCTGTAAATATTGATCGATTTTCTTCCAAATATTGATAGGTTCTAGCTAAAACAAATCTTTACAAATGTGGTCACCACAATTTTTCATTTTGACAAAAGCATCATGGCGTATCTTTGCGATTAAAGGAGGCATGTCAATTTTTCACATTTTGCGTGTATTCTCTATAGGACATGACTTTTTTCTCAAAACTGGATTCTACATTCCCGTCTTTCGCGAGCAATATCATCATGATCATCATTGTTTACATGTCTATATAACTTCTCCCATTCTGAAATATATCATAAGAAGTGAAGAAGACCACCTTATTCGTCCCCATGACGAATTAAATTTCTAGTTATATACTATTTTCATTATTGTTATAGAAATTATCATGATTATTTTTAGAAATATATATCATCCATTGCTTCCATTATTTTTCAGACATATGCAGGAAACTTTGATGCTGCTACACATGTGACCACACTGTTTCCAGTGCCAGTAACAGCACGGTACGTCAGGTTTCATCCTTTAGCATCATTTGATGATACGTCTTTGAGATTCGAAGTACTTGGTATCAACACCTGAACAATAACGAGTTATCGTTAAATTGATTTATTGTTTTATTTAATCATTTTGTTATCCTTGTTTATACTTATTTATCTATTTATATATTAAAGAGAGTGTAGCATGGCAAACAATTGTTAACGCCTTCTACGTCTTCTTTCGGATTACTGCACGTAAAAGAATGGACTTCGTAGTCAGCGACTTAATCTCTAATTGGTCAGCGCGCTAGCGTTTGCGAAACAGACCGAGTTTCTCCTTTGCGCTTGGTTTCGCGTATGTTGCACGCACGTGAAGGCTGCGGTCGCGTCGTCCGTATTCGTGTTATACACGATTGGCCCCCGAGTCAGGCCACGGGAAAAACACATAGTCTCGTCATGCTACACTCCCTTGAATCTATTTATATTTGAATTGATTAATTTATTTATTTATTGAAATATTTGTTGTGCTATAGCATCTTAATTTAATTGTGAGTAGATCAACATTTTAAATGATTACAGTAGAGCGCCATAGTTTTGCTGTCATACGAGTACAGGTATTCACGATTACACGATTACAGGTGACAGCAATATCCTTAAAGACAAATACAAATAGTCTACTTTCGCTTTTTCATGGAGATTTTAAACCCATGTTTGAATCGGGTGTTTATCCGGTAATAGCTGTATTTGATAACCGAGAGTAGACTTCACATTTACGATGGAGCGACAATTAAGTCTCAAATGATCTACAATATACGGCGAACTTCAATAAACCCTACTCGTATGGAAAGCTCATCATAAAAAATGTCCCTCACCCGAACGCTCTCCGGGAAACGAAGTCAAGCTCGAGCAAGTTCCCAATGGGACATCAAGTTTCGCTGCTTGCGATATCGAGATTCCTACACACGATTACTAGTAATATCACCTCACCTACCATCCCAGTTTAGCTTCCTGAGTAAGCTGCCAAAGGAATTACTCATCAAAGTACCAAGTACCAAGTTTGGTGTAAGCGAATTAAAATGCACTGCACACGGATACTATATTGTGTATTTCTTTTAATTATCTATGATAAATTGTCTCATTTGGAATGAGTAATTGCTTGCATGTAGAGTAGGGGAACTCTCCAAGCAGAATTATGGGATCCCTGATGCCACGAAGGAGAGCTGGTTCATGCAGAGAAACCTAGACGTACATGCATCTCAATTGACAAAGGTCACATATTAACAGACGTCAAAGTCACCACCAAAGATGTTGAAATGCTACATATGTAAAATAAGCACAACAAATGCTTGGCAATTTGGTAAAGCGTTTGCTAAATGTGGGAAAAAGAACTACTTCTCCATCATGTGTAAAACTAAATAATAGCCGGAGAAAGTTCGTTAAGAAAAAAAAAGAAACGGTGTTAAATAAATTGTTTTGAGCATTTCACATGCATATGAAAACCACTCAATAAAACCCAAATTATTATCAGGGTGAACTTTCCCTTTGACCCATGATTTAGATGCTCACTGAAAGTGGCAAATCCGAAAAGTACATTTGCAGTGTTATACAAAAGTTGTTTTTCCCCCTGAATCATTCTGCAAAAAGATTGATATATGGTTGACAAATCTGACTTGTGGTGTTTCAGTAGACGTCTACGGCCAGTAGAGTTTACAGATATTTGCAAAGGCACCTTGAATTTTAGAAAGCAATATACGTCTGTGTTTCATGTATCTATTACTACTCCTACTACTACTACTACTACTACTACAATGTACTACTACTACTACTACTACTACTACTAAAACTACAATGTACTACTACTACTACTACTACTACTACTACTACTGCTACTACTACTACTACAATGTACTACTACTACTAATACTACTACTTCACATTACTACTACTATCACTAATACTTATAATAATGTATTTATGTAGCACATTTTCTATATACATGTTCAAATGCGATTCATAATTACTCAATATGATAATGCTTATTGATAATATAGGATACGATAAAGTCATTCTCTGCCAAATGTTAGAGATTATATTTCGTAATAGATTTTGACCAACGATAGTTTGTTTGCCAATTGCATCAGAACGTTCAATTTAGGTTACATTGGTGACGAACGCAGTTGAATATTTCGAAGGTACATATTTAGTATTGAGATCAACAGTTTTACTTTCAGAGGTACGTATTGACAATACAAATGTACTTTCATGATTGTTTTGTAGATTGATTTAATCTTTCTTTCTCTGAGATCTAAAGTAAATGTAACGTTTGATTGTTAGAGGTGACGTAGTCAAGTGGTTCAATCTCTTGATCAGGTATGGAAAGGTCGTGGGTTCGAACTCCGGCACGGCTGTTATGTCCTTGAGCAGGACATGTTATCTCCATTGCTCCTCTCCACCTAGGTTTCAAATGGGTACCCTGTATGATACAAAGGTTAAAAGGCAACCAGCTGGAATGCTCCCCAGGAAGTGGAGAACGTACACCTTAAAATGCGGAGTATTAATTGAATCCAATGATCGTGGTAATATTAATACTGTAATCGTTTCGGTGTTTTATAACTGGTAAAGCGCTAAAAAGAAATAGCTATTATTATTGCCTTTTTTATTTATTTCAGACATACCTTACCAAAATAATATTATGCGTCCAATTATAAAGCAAAGGACAGTACTATTTGTTTTCATATATGTGTCTAAATGTTTGTGAAACTGCTGAAAGTTATTGCATTGTACATTAGCAACATTATGCTAAAAGTACTTAACTGGACTGATAACTATTTCACTATGCTGAAAATACGGCAGTAGTTGATATGTGATTATGCTTCTAGTAGGTTTGATGAAATTATTGATTATTTATTATTATGCATGCATTTGATATTCTGTGAATTCAACAATGTTTGCATTTCATAAACTCATTAAGTAGTGCTACATTTAATCATTGGTGGCGCTTATTCATTGTTTTCAAAAAATAAACAAAAGGAGAGAGGAGAAGAGAAAGGAATTATCAGAATTGTTTAAGAGAGTTTGAGACAATGACTCTTGACGTAGGGCTTCAATACACCGAAATATGTTTCTTGTTAGTTATGTGGGCTTGGTTAGGGAACATTTCATAATTTTGGGTAGAAATTTTTGAGCCAAAGCGTAAAGTTTTTTTTTGTTGGAGTTAGAAATTTCAGTTAAACACAAGTTTAAATAGAAATGCTGTTTATCTAAAGCAACCGAAACTTTGAAATTGATATGTCAGGAATTTCACCTAAACATGAACGATTGAGGTAATATGGTATATTCGATGGGAGCTGAAGAGTTGAAAATGATTGCATGTGCAAAAGTCAATTCATTCACCTTTGTTACCATGGTTTCAGCAAATGTGGATGATGCAAGTGGTGAAGCGCCACCTCTTGTCGGAGACAGGACGAAATCAATTTATTTTGACTCAGACGATGTATAACTATACTATATTGAAATATCATTGTTATTTTAGATTTTTGAATAGATGTGAAATAAACTAAATTGAAATGAATTGAATCATGTTTATTGCCTCACTTGTATAGCCTTAAGGCTTGTTCAGATATGGCGCGCTGAAGCGCCGCAAGAATTAAAGCCGCCATGTAAATAACTGGCAACTGCGGGCCACATAGGACTTGCGGTATTGAAGCGCATTAAATTCTACATCGTTATATACACACATTATACTGGTATAATATACTCTTCCCCCCCCCCCCCCATATATATATTATATATATGGGGGAAAAAAGGTAAAACAACGCCTCAATTTTGTTGTGTCATATCTGAAGGAGGCTTAATTAAGAATAACCCGATTTTCATGTCACACTTAACAGAACAATTACATTTCAAATTCAAATTTTTGAAATTCAAATAATTTATTCACTCAATATAAAAAAAACAGACACATAGAATTGCGAATAAACGCATACATGTATAACAAATATAAAAAGATGGACATAGCAAAATCAGTAGATGACAACACAAATAACATAATATAAGTGGGGACAGATTAAAGATCTACTCAAAGATCTTGTGAATTCGACCCCTTAGAATAAAATAAATTGCATTGTATACTGTTGCATGTACAACAACATGAGGGAGAGAATACATATACAGCTACAGCTGGGTCAGAGAGAAACAAGAGAGGGAGATAGATAGAGAGAGAGAGAGAGAGAGAGAGGGGAAGAGGAAGGAAAATTGAAGGAGAGAAAGGCAAGATGAGAAGTAAAGTTAATACATAGGATGAAATTAGACCCAAGCAGAATAATAGTGCGTACAAAATAGAAAATAGAAATAACAATTATAAAAAGAAAAAAAAACATACAAACCAGGGATATAACAATTAACATTGACATAAACAACAAACAACAGGTGACTCAATGTGGATAAGATTGTAAAAGCCTTTCTTTGTATTGTTTCTTGAAAACATTCAGAGAGCATGCAGATTTTAGATAAGGTGGCAATGCATTCCATAGTTTGGGACCTGCATAGTAAATTGTCTTTTGAGAAACTGAAGTTCTTGCATATGGGATGTGAAAATCCGCATTTGAACGAGTACAGTGGGAGTGGATTGAAGAGTTAATGGAAACATAGCGAGTCAGGGATAATGGCAAGATCTGTCTCTGACAAGAGAACATAAAAATGGCCAGTCTTAATTTATACAAATCGAATACATTCAAGATTTTTAATTGAGTAAATAAAGGTTTAGTGGAGGCAAGGAAAGGCATTTTACAAATTATCCTCACTGCTCTTTTTTGCAATCTATATACTCTCAACATTTTTACTTGAGAAGCTGAGGCCCAGACAATATTGCAATATATAAGAAAAGGGTAAATGAGTGTGTAGTAAAGAGATAACAAAATATTTCTAGGCAGATAGTTTAGTTTGTTCATTACACCAATATTTCGTGAAATTGTTGTAATTGGTGTAATTTACATGGTCATGCCAACGCAATTTGTCATCAATTTGAATTCCTAGAAATTTTGTGTTGGATACTATTGTGATTTCAGAGCCATTTAGATATACCTTATAGTTGGAAATATCAATATTTCTTTTGGTGAAAATCATCATGTGAGTTTTGTTTGTATTAAGTAGTAGCTTGTTAAGTTTGAGCCAATGGGCGACATGTTCTAGTTCATGGTCTAAAGTTTGAATAAGGGTTGCTTCATCTTTGTTTGATAAAGAAATTGTAGTGTCATCTGCAAAGAGGACATAACTAAGTTTGGAAGAACATTTATG